GGGACATTCCTGCCTTGCGTAGGCAAGTGGCCTAGATCTGTGTTTCTGTGCGCTGTGCACGTCAAAATCACCTTGGGTTGTTTTTAAAAATACAGATGCCTGGCCCCACCCCAGACTTATCGAAACAGAATCTTAGGGCTAGAGACCGTTAGTGCAAGGATTACAAACCAGGAAATAAGTCTGTAAGAAGGTTCACTCGAAGAAATACAAATGGCTAATCACACATGCAAACCTGTTCCACTTCAAGACTAATGAAAGGAATGCAAATTAAGAGTGATATGCCATTGATCGCCTATCAGATTGCAAAGGTTAAAAAATATTAATTGTCAGTGCTGGTATGTGGGGTGGGGGGAGGAACACTCACACATTCCGGTGACGAAACAGTAAATGGTAATAACATTCTGCAGCGCAATTTAACAGCAGGATTAAGGGGAACTTTTAATGCTAAATATGTATCTAATGTTGGAGCAAGCAATTCCGATGCTACAAATTTATCCTAGAGGGATAATCTAGCAAGTTTGAAAGTGCCTGCTCAAAGATGTTCATTCAAATCCACGTTTATACCTGCACTATCCGAAAGAACTTTCTGCAGTGATGGAAATTTGCTCTCTGTGCTGTCCTACTTGCCAACTACTAGACACATGTGGCTATTGAGCACCTGAACTGTGGCAAGTACAGTTTAGGGGCTGATTTTTAATTAACTTTAATTTTTTAATTAATTCAAATGCAAATGTAAATAGCCACAGATGGCCAGTAGCTACTGTCCGGGAAAGCTTGTGTTTAGAATGCCACAAAATTATAGCTTCTCAAGGTATCAAACAATAAAGGATGATTACCTATAATCCACCAACAGTGCAATTTTTGGCAGTTGTTACACATGATTATGTAGATTTATGTTACTGATGTCAAGAAATGTTCTTAAAATATGGATAAGTGAAATAATTATTTAAAAGTTTGTATGATAAATTTGTTTAACACGTTCAGCTTAAGAAACAAACTGTACTTTGGTGTTTCTAAGTAACCTCTGCACTGGGCTTGCAGACAGATCCTTCCTTTTCCAAACCTGGAAAAGCCAACAGGAGCAGCGAGACTATTTCACTGAGAGCCCAGCTAAGTTTTTGAACTGGAGTGTATGTGTGTCTGTGTGTGTGTGTTCGTCACTCAGTCGTGTCTGACTCTTTGTGACCCACCATAGACTGCAGCCTGCCAGACTTCTCCGTCCATGAGATTTTCCAGGTAAGAATACTACTGTGAACTGCCATCTCCTTCTCCAGGGGATCTTCCCGACCCAGGGATCGAACCCAGGTCTCCTGCATTGCAGGCGGTCAAAACCCATTGCAACGGCTTTATTATTTTGTACTCAATTAAGTATACTGCACAAATTCCCCTGGGAAGAGGGAGCAGGGGAGTTGATTCATTTACAGGCCTTCCCTAAATGCGAACCTAAGGAACACTCCTGGGGGTGTGTGCGTGCGTGTGTGTGTGTGTGTGGAGAGCTTTTCTCTACTGGCCTTGTGTGCTGGGTGTGTGTGTGTGTGTGTGTGTGTGTGTGTGTGTGCGTGTGCGTGTGTGTGTGTGTGTGTGTGTGTGTGGAGAGCTTTTCTCTACTGGCCCTGTGTGCAATGGGGCCAGCCTGGGGACCATGCATGCATTTCCCTGCCTCAAGGGGCTACAACCCGTAATATCTAGCAACTCTTTCCTGATCCTTTGGCGCACAAGGAATTGAGGGTATATTCAGCAGCAGCAAGCAAACAGTTTTGAAACACCTACTAGGTGACTTTCCCAGGCTGACACAGGGACTCCTCCCAAGGGCATCCAGAATACAAAAGGCTTATCAAATGGCTTTGTTCTCCCATAGGCACAAACAGCTCCATCCTGAATTCTAACAAAAACAGCGTTAAAACTCTGCATTCTAAAATGTGTGTATATATGTAAACACTTCTCAGTTAATCACATACACTCTCAGGTTATAATATTCCTCCCCAAGTCTCTCTTGAGAAATCTCTGCCAGTGGTTAATTCTGTAATTATCCCTTTGCTTGGGTTAAAAGTATACTTCATAAAAAAAAAAAAGTATCCTTCATAAAAATGCCGAACTTACAGGAAAATGCAGCCACAAAACGGTCTTTCTTTCTCTGCTTCATTATGTAGTTAATAGACTCGAGGAAGTACTGATAACTGGATGAAGGTCTGAATACACAACTACATGCTATATATAGCCCAGGCCTTCTGAATTTTTCAAACAGTGAACAAAACTGAATGATCTTAGCAATATGCCAAAAAGGGTATAACTGTTTTTTTTCTTTTAACAAACCACCTAAACAGGAAATTCTGTATATTTGTTCAGCTTGGTGGGTTTTCCAACTTCTAGTAAAAGATACACCACAAGAAAGCTTAATCTGCTGCAGGAATGACTCCATATTGGAATCTAATGAATGTGACTCCATGTTGAAGCCCTAACTTGAGTGTCGTGGGTTTACAGCAGCAAGTATAAATCCCACCTCAGTTGTCACAAATAAACATTTTGGATTTTAAATCAGAAAAGAATCAGACGTTGTCGGCAGCTGCAATGTGCATGGTCTACTCACTCTCCAGTCACGCATGGCTTTGCTTAATGAGCTCTTGGTGTCAGGAAAGCAGAGGCCAAGAAAGAGAGCCATTTAGGAGAGTATACTCCTTTACGATTGTTTCCTCATTTCTTAATTGACTGAACCACTTTAAAACAGCATTCATTAATATGCTATGAATAATCTATAATTGACTTATGTATATAATCTGGGCATCCTCCTGACAAACACATATGTACACCCAATCCAGGCTGAAACTAATGAAACAAATGAAAATAAAGTCATCCACATTCACTCATCATTTTAAGGCATCTAGGATTGTGTCTTGCACACAGTAAGGACTCAACAGATATAGATTTAGATTCCTAGAATCAGTTCTCCCCACCTCTCAAAATTTCAGTGTGGACTACATACCAAAGGAGTAAATAAATATTTCTGTGCCTTGCCTGTTAAAGTCTGTGGCCTTGGTCCCAAGTAACCTAGGTTGGCAGCATCTCTCATTGGAGGCTCCTCCCGCTAACAGCTTTTTGAGCTTTGCCAAAGAGTCAGTGGTTAGAAGGGACCTGTGTTACCCCAAATCTTTTTTCAAACCCGAAAACCTGAGCAAGAATGCTAATGTTAACTTTATGCTGCTGAGGGTGGCAGGTCAAATGCTGGTCAAATCCCAGTGGAGGTTTGCTGAGGCCCATTTATTCTCTTGAGACCATCTGTCCGCTTCACAGGGTGTGGTAGAGGGCCAGCCATCCTGCTTAAGTGAGATTTTTCTTTCTTCCTGAATTTAGAAAAGGGTTTCCTGTGCTAGGGAGATTGAATCACTTGTTAACAATCACCCGAGATAAGAGCCCTGGTACAAATTCCCTACACACAGCTTGCCTTCCAATCTTAACGGGCTGTGCTGACAATCGAGGTTCCAATCTGACCCCAACAGGACCTCATTCTACAATCAGTGAGACACACAATAAGCCAAGTCCATTAAAACAACATTAAAGGTCTGGGTTTTTAGCTCTGCTAAACAGCAGGATTAAACTTTCAAGGTTCCAGCCAGGATAAAGAGATTTCTTTAAAGTCACTTGGCTTTGCACAGTTGTAGCTATTAGGGATCAGATCTTTATCTCAAAGGTACATATTTTGCTTTTGATCCTCCTCCAGAACTCCCACTAATGTCAACTTTCTCCACAGTTGGGATCAGGTCCCTGGCCTCCTTTTTTCTTTTTTTTTTTTTTGGCCTCCCTTTTATGTTGGTTTTATCACAGATACTACAAGATCAACAGAAAAATTACAAGGAAAAGCTGTGAAGTTCCCTTCCGATGATAAGTTGTTTTAACAAAAAGAAGCTCACTCTTAAATGGTGAAATTAAAACACAGCAGATAACTTGCTGTAAGGTAGAGGGACTGCAGAGAGACGAAAACGACCAACCAACCAAAGCAACAAAACAAACAGTAATTAACCAGTCTGATTATTTAGGTTTTGATCGCTGGTCCAGGAAATTGGAAACAAGCGTCTTGAAAACAGAAGGGACCCGTTAGTACCCGTCCGCTGAGCTCCAGAGTCTGACAACCCGAGGGTGCAACGGAAGGGTTCCCAAGGGGTCAGCGTGCTTTCCAACCCCCATCCCCCAGCCCTGAGCGGTGGGGCTCTGAGCCCAGGTTCTCCATCTCCGCACTAGCGCACACCATCTTCTCCTAAAACCCGTGGGGCCCATCTCCTCGCCTCTGGAGCACTCCCGAGTCCCTGGCCCTGCGGCTGCCGAGCCCGCGCCCACTCGCCCCGGAACCCCGTTGTCTCCAATCCGCTCCCTTCTGGGCGGCAGCGCCAGCGCCAGCAGCACCCCTTCTACACCCATCACCACCCTCTCCCCAGGAGCAGGAGGAAGTCGCTACGCTTCCTCTGTTCTAACCGCCCGCCAGAGCTTGGGCGCCCGGGGCTTTTTGGGTGGGGTTCTTTTTTTGTGTGTACACGGTGTGTGAGTGTGAGTGTGTGCGCGCGCGCGCGTGTGTGTGCAAAACGCTCATCGCATCCTTCCGCCTAGGCTGCCTCAGGTGCGGCCAGGAGGGAATCGAGATCTCGCCGCGCCCGGGTCGCAGGCTCTTTGTGCCGGGTCTCGGGGAGCGGGGTCCGCTCTCCAGCTCACGCTCCCCTCCCGGGCCCCGGTTCCGAGCCCCCGACGGCCCGTCGGCGTCCAGCCGGGCGCACGCCTCCTCCGCCGTGCGGGGCAGCCGGGCAACCGCGGCGCTGTCAGCGGGCGCCTGGGACTCGGACCCCCAGCGAGGGGTGACCGCGGCAAAAACTTACTGAAGCGGAGAAAGAAGCGCGGAGCGCACCGGGCGGCCACAGGCTGCGCCGTCCCCGTACCGGCCCCGCGCGCGCGCGCGGGGGAAGCCGCCCGGTCGTCCTCGCCTAGAGCGTGTCCCCCGGCACCCCTCGGTCACTCACCAGCACCACGGAGCTCCGCACGGCCTCCGACACGCTCTGACGGAGCTCGGCCGCCGTGCCAGGCTTGCTGAGCCGCTTGGTGAATTTGCGCACTTCGGCCATGGCAGCGGCGGGCAGGTCTCGGCGGGCGTGCTCAGCGAGGGAGGGGGGCCCGGGGTCACGAGGGAAGAGGGGGGAAGTGGCAACCGCTCGGGCTCCGCCCGCAGCTGATGTTGCTAGTGCAGCCGCATCCGGGAGGGGAGATCTGGCTGCTTCATTTTTCATGTATATTTGGGGGGTGGCGGGGGCGGGGGGACACGGAAAGTCGCCAAGTGTGCAGTACGCTCTACTCCAGCGCGTCTTTCCCGCCCGTTAGGCTGCAGTGCCCGCAGGAGGGCTGGGGAACTCTATCCTCCCCCCCCCCACACCCCTCAAGCCCCCAGGGCAGGGGCGCCGGAGCGGCTGGGGGAGGACGTGGAGCGGCCGCCTATTGTGTGCTTCGCCCGGGAGGGATCGCGCCGATGTCAGAGGTCGAAGGAGGGAGAATGGTTTTCCGGCCGGAGCGATGTGCCTGAGTCACCTCCTGCTCACACCGTTTTCTTATCCATCGGTCCTCCTCACGTTTGAGCGAGGGGGGAAGGCAACCTCGGAGAGGAAAGTTACTGTAGCGAACCCACCCCCCCAGGGCAGGGAACAGCTGGGTGGTGGGGGCCTGAACCTCTGGCCGGGGCGCGGGGAGGGCGGGGGGATAGGAGGGTGGTATTGGGAAGGCAATTACCTGGAGTCCTGAGGATTCACTGATCTTCTAGAAGCATTTACACACCCTCCTATCACCTCTCCATTTCCCACTCCTTTCCTTATTCTCTTCACCTTCCAAGAAATTGTTTCCTAAGAACCAAAGAACATATTTTGAACCGAGATGTAAAATAAAGATGCTTAAGACAGAAATAAATCACAAGCTGGAATCAAGATTGCAGGGAGAAATACCAACAACCACAGATGCAGATGGCACTGCCACTCTAGTGGCAGAAAGAGAAGAGGAACTAAAGAACCTCTTGATGAGGGTGAAAGAGGAGAGTGGAAAAGGTGGCTTAAAACTCAGCATTCAAAAAATGAAGATCATGGCATCCGGTTCCATCACTTCGTACCAAGTAAAGGGAAAAAAGTAGAAGCAGTGACAGATTTTAATTTCTTGGGCTCCAAAATCACTGTGGATGGTGACTACAGTCAAGAAATTAAAAGATGCTTGCTCCTTGGGAAAAAAGCTTTAACAAAACTAGACATCGTATCACTTTGCCAACAAAGGTCGGTATAGTCAAAGCTATGGTTTTCCCAGTAGTCATGTACAGATGTGAGAGTTGGACCATAAAGAAGGCTGAGCACTGAAGAATTGATGTTTCCAACTATGGTGCTGGAGAAAACTCTTTAGAGTCCCTTGGACAGCAAGGAGATTAAACCAGTCAATCCTAAAGGAAATCAACCTGAGTATTCATTGGAAGGACTGAAGCTGAAGCTCCAATACTTCAGCCACCTGATGCGAAGAGTCAACTCATTTCTCATTGCAAAGAGTCACCTGATGCTGGGAAAGATTTAAGGCAGGAGGAAAAGGGGGTGGCAGAGGATGAGATGGTTAGATGGCATCACTGAATCAATGGACATGAATTTGAGCAAATTCCAGAAGATAGTGAAGGATGAAGGAGCCTGGCATGCTGCAGTCCGTGGGGTCACAAAGAGACAGACACAACTTAGCGACTGAACAAGACAGAAATAAGGATGTGAATCTTGAAGTACTTGTGACCCTGTAAAGCCTCCTCAAGTGCAAAGTGAGGTTCTGCTAACTGCAGCAATTTTGTCTGGTTACTTAATGTGTTGAGAGTTTGCAAATGGCCAGTCATTTCTGTGGAGCCATGCAGCGCTTCTAAGTGGATCCTACTACCGCCATAAGGGCACAGTCCCCACTTTTCCCATCTTCAAAGACCAAGCAGTCACACCTACGTATAGGGCATGCATGGTTGATGGCTTCTGTGAGTCCAGGGAAGGCCAGATCTCTTAGCAGCATGTCTATTTCAGCAGCCATCACATTAGTCCCAATAAAGCATAAACAAAGTTTCCAGAGAGTTGGGACCTGGAAGTCCTTTAAAGGTAAAAGCCTTTTATCACTGATCTTGGCTTTGCATAGTGCATGTGTGTACAAAATTTGTTAATCACTGAATGTTGGTAGATCAGCCTGAATTCACGCCTCTGTTCCACGAGTACCTGTGTGTTCCATACTGTTGGTTACCTCCACAACAGCCATAACACTTTTTCCTTGCTAAGGGAGCCCAGATTTATTTCTGGTATCAGCAGAGCCACGGGGCTTAAGAAATGCAGACCCAGCTCCAGGTGATGAATTATGACTGGTTAAAAAGAAAATCATGATAACCTTACTCTCCTTTACCAGTTGTCGTTGTTCAGTCACTAAGTTGTGTCTGACCCTTTGACACTCCATGGACTCTAGCACATCAGGCTCCTCTGTCTTTTGCTAACTACCAGAGTTTGCTCAAACTCATGTCCATTGAGTTGATGCCATCCAACCATCTCATCTTCTGTCGTCCCTTCTCCTTCCTTCAATCCTTCCCAGTATCAGGGTATTTTCTAATGAGTCAGCTCTTTGCATCAGGTGGCCAAAGTATTGGAGCTTCAGCTTCAGCCTCAGCCCTTCCAATGAATACTCAAGGTTGAATATTTATCCTTTACTAGAGTAATGGTCTTAGCTCCCATTCAGTCTGGGCCAATGGAATATAAAAGAGAAGTGTGAGAGGAAAGCTCCCACCTTTCTCCCCTGAGAAGATATCCCCTTTCTCCCTGAGAGGTATCTTTTCTGGCGATGCATCTGCTCTTGGCAGCCATTTTCCAACCACAAGGGAAGTCCAAGACCATCAAAGAGGAGCAGATCCAGAATCCAGACAGCATTGAATGGTTGAACCAAACTTACCTAGTACTGCCTACCTCTGAGAAAAGTAAATCTTTATGGTTTATGCAACCTTTAGTTGAAAATTCTCTTTCCTTCAGCCAAAAGCATTGTTACTACTACAGACTCTGTTGTAGCCATTAGAAGTATATATTGTAAAGTAATTAGCCTCAAACTAATAAAAATAATTGGGAAAAAAAGAAGTATACAGGGTTGAACAAGACAGGCAATGTTCTTCTGGTGTAGCTTACCTGCTAGTACTAGCAGATGACCATGTTAATTTCAGAAAGTGAAAAATACTATGTGGAAGATTAAGTTAAGATGATAGAATAGGGAGTAACTGGAGTTGAAGACCTACTTTATTTTGTTTATTAGCTTCTTATTTTGTATTGGGGTATAGCTGATTAGGGCTTTCCCGGTGGCTCAGACAGTAAAGAATCTGCCTGCAATGCCGGAGACCCCTGTTTGATCCCTGGGTTGGGAGGATCCTCTGGAGAAAGAAATGGCAACCCACTCCAGTATTCTTGTTTGGAGAATCTCGTGGACAGAGGAGCCTGGCAGGCTACAGTCCGTGGGGTCACAAAGAATTGGACACGACTAAGAGACACACTTTCACATAGCCATAAACAATGTTGTGATAGCTTTGGGTGACTAGCGAAGGGACTCAGCCATACATATACAGATATCCATTCTCCCCTCAAACTCCCCTTCCATCCAGGCTGCCACATAACATTGAGTAGAGTTCCCTGTGCTATACAGTAGAACCTTGTTGGTTATCCATTTTAAATATAGTAGTGTGTACCTGTCCATCCCAAACTCTCTCCATTTTAAATATAGCAGTGAATACCTGTCCATCCTGAACTCCCTAACGGTCCCTTCCCTCCCCCCGCCCCCAGCAACCATAAGTTCATTGTCTAAGTGAAGACCTACTTTAGAATAGATGGTCAAGGAGTCCTATTGGAGGAGGTAAAAATTGTTAGATTCTTGAAGGAAAAGAAGCAGCCAGTAGAGATCTAGAGGTAGAGCACTCCGGGTAGAAGGAATGACAGATACAAAGGCATGGAGATGGGGGCAGACTTAGTGTGTTCAAAGCCAGAAGGCAAAAAAAGGCCAGCGTGGTTGAAGCATAGAAAGAAATGGTGTGGTAGGAGATGGAATCGGAGAAGTAGGCAATTTCTACAGAGCTTTGTGAGCCATGGAAAGCATATGTCACACGGATGGTATGCAAACACCATCTGGTCATTATGTAGGATCCTCACTTATTCTTGAGACTGTAGGTTTCACTCTCTTGCTTTAGGGCTTCTGTTTAATTACACAAACATTGAACATTGTACTATGCACTGAGAGAGGATGCCAGATGAATTAAATATACTGTCCATTCTCTTTAGGGGAAAAAAAAAGCCTTTTGGAGAATGTATTTATGATACAAGGAAGTATGTGATAAGGACCATACTCGAGGTGAAAAGGAAGATCACAAGATCACATGTGATTAGGAGTATTGAAGGCTTTCTGTAGAAGTTAGACCTTGAGTTAGACCTTTGAGTTAGATGCTGAAGATGAATAGGATTTGGGCATGACTCAGTTCAGTTCAGTTCAGTCGCTCAGTCGTGTCCGACTCTGTGACCCCATGAATCGCAGCACGCCAGGCCTCCCTGTCCATCACAAACTCCTGGAGTTTACTCAAACTCATGCCCATTGAGTCAGTGATGCCATCCAGCCATCTCATACTCTGTCGTCCCCTTCTCCTCCTGCCCCCAACCCCTCCCAGCATCAGGGTCTTTTTCAATGAGTCAACTCTTCGCATGAGGTGGCCAAAGTATTGGAGTTTCAGCTTCAGCATCAGTCCTTCCAATGAACACCCAGGACTTATCTCCTTTAGGATGGACTGGTTGGATCTCCTTGCAGTCCAAGGGACTCTCAAGAGTCTTCTCCAACACCACAGTTCAAAAGCATCAATTCTTCAGTGCTCAGCTTTCTT